CATCTCCTCATGCTGTCGTCTCCTCCGCAGGGCCTGGTCTTTTTGGAATTCTTCAATGAATTTCTGCGTGGTTCTCTTTTTCTCCAGTCTGTCTTGTCTTGCCCTATGGGAGAAGTGCAGAGCTTCAGTAATGCATCTGGAGGAGCCTGGCAACCTATACAGGGAGCTTTGGAACCTTCTCTATAGGTCCTTTCTGAATTGCCCGACCCCCTTCCGTGGGCACTCTAAAGTTTCCCAGTTGCATGCACTGGTATGGACACAGCAGATTACCATACATCAATCTTCCAGAAGTCCCACTGCTCCTTGTGACCACAAGAACGGATCACAACTAAAGATGACTGGTGTCATAGTATGAGAATCATTTAGTGTGGCCCCACCCAGCCATGGAAGGAGCCAACAGCCTTAAAAGACAGTCCAAGCTTTCTCCCCTGTGAAGTAATTGATTTCTGAAGTGCCTCAGGCAAGGGAGGGAGTGGATGGAAGCACCACCGGCCCCCAAGGGCCTGGAAGACTGCTTCCTTTGCACAACGGAGGAGCCTCTGTTGCTGCTCCTCAGGGCTGGGAGGGTTTAAGCAGAGATCTCCAGCCATCCATTTGGGAGAGAGAGATTTAGAACTGAGCAGGAAGATGAAAGGAATCTGTGATGCAGAAACCAAAAATTCCAGTGCCAACCCACAGCATGTTACAGGTAGTCCTTGACTTATGACAATTGGGCCTGGAACGTTTGTCACCAAGTGATGCCGATGTTAAAGTGAGTCACATTTTTTTTGCCATAGACATTAAGAAAATCACACAGTTGTTAAGTGAATCTGGTTCCCCACAGACTTTGCTTGTTGAAACTCCTCCCTCCCCCGGAGAAGGTTGCAAATGGCAATCGCATGACCCCATCCCAGGATGTTGCAACTATAAATACATGCCAGTTGCTAAATTTTGATCACATGACTGCAGGGACATTGTGATGGTCGTAAGTTTGAGGATCAGTCATTTTTTCAGTGCAATCACAACTTCCAATGGCTATTAAATTATTGTAATCAAGGACTACCTGTAATTGTCAGGCCAAGTCATCCTGAAGGAAGTACAAGTAATTCAGCGAAGTATGTTTAACATAATATAAACTAACTTTTCATCTTCCTCATAGATCTTCGTCACAATTTCATCAATCAAGAGTTTCTCTCTAAGGAACTCCTTGTAAGCAGCTTGCTTCCGCCTTTCTTCTTCCTCCAACTGTTTCTCCAGTTCTTGCTGATAGAGCAACTTCTCCTGATTGCGCCTCGTTTCAACAGCATTCTCTGTCTTGGCTGCTCTTCCTTGCTCTTCCTTCATTGCTTGGTAGATTTCTGCATCCTCCTTCTGTTGGCACAAATCCATCTACTTGCTCTGTTTTCTTCCTATTTACTTATAACTTGCAATCATTCACTCCATCTTCCTTGTCAGATACATCTATTTTTATCTAAGAAGTTAACTTCCAAACCCATTCTCTGTACTGCATCACAAAAATCTAAGATTTGCTACAAATCATTCAGGTTCTCAGACATCACAGCATGATCTGCATATAAAAGTACATCTACATTCATATCCCCAGTTACCAACCTGTAACTGCATCAATGATCTTTATGTATTGGCCCAAAATATTTCTCCACTTACATTTTCTGCAGTTTTCCAACGTTCTCACAGCATTTATTTCATCAAGTCTAAAAATTAAATATTCCATAAACTAGTTACCATTTTTTCGTATTTCAGAGCTTCTTTCTCAGCAATCTGAACAGCCCTCTCTTTATTCATATATGCAGATTGCAATTTCCTCTCCAGTTCCCGCAGTTCAATACTAGAAACAAGCAGGCAAAAAAACTTATGAAAATTATTATTTGATTCAAGAGCCCTCTAAAGAATTTGTATGAAAGGCACTGGATGCGGTGACAGTAGGAAGTTGGAGTGAAGCTGATTAATGGAGACTACAGGCAGTCCTTGATGTATGATCATAGTCGGAGTTGGAACTTTGGCCATAAGATGAGGCACCTATGTGACTGAACCCAATTTTTCTAACATTTCTATAAGTAGACCATGTGATGATAAGTCAGAATCATGTGGTGGTTGACTCCCAAATGGGCAATTGTTGCCAAAAACCAGCAACATTTTTCTGCAAAATACAATGATGTGATTATGTGTGTGCACGTGACATTTCAAAACAGTGCTTTACAAGCCATAAAGCACCATTTCAGAGTCTACTGTTTCTTTGAATGGTCATTAAACAACTGGTCACAAGTGGAGGACTACCTGCACACGCAGGGACTTTCTCTGAGCCTCACCCTCCATTCCCAAGGATGCCTGAAGGGGCCCCAGCCACAACTTCTTCATCAGGATGATCCTCAAACAGTCAGAAATCAGAACAGTCCTGGAATGGTCAGTAAAAGAAATACCTATTTTCTTTGATTTGTTGCCTCATTTTTTCATCTTTAAGTTTGTCGTGGTTTAATCTTGCTAATTCAGTTGCCAGTTTTTCTTCCTGCTGCAATTCCAGGGCTTTTAGCTTTTTATTCTCTTCTGCCTGACAAACACAGAATCACATAAATTTCAGTGTATGTTTCTCAGCAATTGTTTGATGGCTCAAGAAGTCTACAAGATATATTATACGTGCTATGGTTGAAGCAGAGACATCACCCTGCCAACAAAAGTGCGTATAGTCCAAGCCATGGTTTTCCCAGTTGCAATGTATGGCTGTGAAAGTTGGACCATAAGAAAGGCTGAGCGCCAAAGAATTGAGGCCTTTGAACTATGGTGCTGGAGAAGACTCCTGCGAGTCCCTTGGACTGCAAGGCGTTCAAACCGGTCAGTCCTAGAAGAGATCAACCCCGACTGCTCTTTAGAAGGCCAGATCCTGAAGTTGAAACTCAAATAGTTTGGCCACCTAATGAGAAGGAAGGATTCACTGGAGAAGAGCCTAATGCTGGGAAAGATTGAGGGCAATAGAAGAAGGGGACGACAGAGAATGAGATGGCTGGATGGAGTCACTGAAGCAGTAGGCGTGAATTTAAATGGACTCCAGAAGATGGCAGAGGACAGGAAGACCTGGAGGAACGTTGTCCATGGGGTCGCGATGGGTCGGACACGACTTCGCAATTAACAACAATGGTTGATAATCATTCTTACAAAACCGTCCAAAGAATGCAACTACTGGTACTTGATTGAATTAAAGGTGCAGCGCAATAGCAGGTAATTTGCTAGCCAGTGTTTTGACATTCACAATTACCTTAATATTTCTACCGACAGACTTTTCCTTGGGGGGGGGAGGGGGCTGGGATGTCGCTCCCTCTCTCGGAGGGGCAAGAGATGCCCGGAACCGCGGCGGCCCGAGCCGGCCTCCTCTGGGCCTTCGCCCGCGCCCACCTGCTGGACGGCCTCCTCCAGGCGCTGCTCGTGCTCCTCCTCCCGCAGCAGCCGCGTGACGCGTTTCTGCTGTACGCGGTCCTCGGCCTCCCACATCACCTCCAGCTGGTGAACGCGCTCCAGCTTCTTGCGGTGCTCTCGCTCCCGCATCTGCTGGAAGTAGAGCTCGTGTTGCTTGCGGTCCATCAGCTGCGCCGCGGTGGGCTGCCGCCGGCTCGGCTTCTGCGCCATGGCCGCGGGAAGTCGCCCTCCGCGGGCCCAGAGAGCCGCCGGGCGCGGGACTGCGAGAGGTCAGCGTCCGCTCTCCCGGCGCCGCACTGCCTAGCAACGGGCGCACTTCCGGCGGAAACCAGGGGAGCGCGCCGCGTCTCCAGGCAACCGGGCTTGGGCGGAGAGCCGCAGCCCGCCAGAACCCTCGGCTTCCCCGCGCTCAAGCGAAGCGCAGCCGCCACCTGAGCCCCGGCGGGCCGCCTTTGTGGTCGCAGGCGCTCCGAAGGAATCCCCGGGAAAGGGCGGCTGCCCACCAGCCCTGGGCGAGGCGCCTGGGTGCAATTCTGCCCAGGCCCGGAGCGTTTTCCCGGAAGGGAGCTTAAGCGGCAAGTAGGCAGCCGAGTGGCTGCAGGCTCCGCTCTGAGAAACCCTGCATTTAAAGAGGCTCACCCGGGTTGTGGGGGGCCGCCTGCAAGGCTAAGCTCAGGCCCCCGAATCTCCCTTGAGAAGCCCAACCTCACCCGACCTGGGGAGGGGGCGCTTGGATTTCAGCCTCCCGGCAACCCTTCTCACCACTCCTGCCCACTGAGCATCACGGGTTGGGGCTGCTTGTCTCTTCGCTACCCACTCGCCCTCCTTCCCAGGTTTCCCTCCGCTCTAGCCCAGGGGTAGGCAACCTTGGCTCTTTTAGGACTTGTGGACTTGAACTCCCAGAATTCCAGCTCAGCTTGGAAACCTCCCTTTTCTTTCAGCATGGCTGGCTCAGGAATTCTGGGAGTTAAAATCATAAGAGTCATAAAAGAGCCAAGGTTGCCTATCCCTGCTCTAGCCAAATGGCTCCTTTGTAACCTTCTATCCGTGGCCTACAGTGGCTATGCCTGTCTTTGTATATGTTGTGGGGTTTTATTGTCATACTGGTTTTAAATTTGTAGCCAGTCATAATTTGTAAGCTGGATAGCCTTTTTCATCCTTCCAATGAACAAACACAGAGAGAGAGAGTGCCAGAAAGTTTTCTCAGGTGCAATTCCCCTCAAACACACCAGACTCTGCGATCCTTCCCAGCAATCTGTCTCTCTCTTCACAGATGACCAGTCTTGAGACCTGCATCTTCTTCACATTTACTCAGTGGCTGGTGTGCCTGAAGGAGTCTCTCCGGCATTGAAAGGCGAATGAAAGCAGCTGCACAGCCTTGCCTCAGAATGTGTGGTGCCTTTGAGGCTAAACAATACTGTTCGAGTGTATCTGCAATTAAGGTGATGGTACGAATCTTAAACAGATTCTAAATACATTCCTTCTGGGGAGAAAGCCTTGAGCCCTCCCAAGGGTGAGCAAGCATAGAACCTGAGATTCCACCAGCCAGTTTCAAAAACATACATATGAAAAGGAACAAAACCCATAATATTTTCTTGCAAATATTTACTCCAAAATATGTACATCAGTGTCTTAACGGAAATTCAAAACATTTAAGTTCATAAAAACAAACCAAGTTCAAAATCACTTTCTACAAGATTTAGAGGAGAATTTTAATTAAGCGTGTTAATATTGAAAAAGCAAACTCCTATTAAATCATGTTATACATTCCTTCACTAACTACGGTATATCAAAAGGATTTCATGCCACCCCACCCTTTCCATTTGTTTGACATAAATTTAGATACAAAATCCCCCTTCAGTACCTGACTTAAATGCTTCCAAATTTCTTCTTCCTCCTTTTGGTAACAGATTACATCTTTTCAGCTTTCCGTTTCTTTCAAGCCACTTTGTATTGTCTGGGCCTGCCGTTAACAGAAAGAATAGAAGAGTGACTGCCCCAAAGGAAGAGCTGGGGCCCACCTTTCCTACAAACAGGTGTGTACAATTTTATTCTGCTTGCACACAGGGAAACTCACAAGTATATTTATAATCATCCACTTTCATTGAAAGTTTTAAGGTGAACTTGGCTTCTTGTAAGATCACACCGATCCAGAAGTACCCAAACAAACTGTTGCCATTGATGGGATGGGAATGCAACCCCCAGCCCAGGGTTTCCCTTTGAGTGTTCTTCTGGTAGTCATTTTATTTTTTTTAAAAGTGGCTTCTGTAAGAACCCTTACTTTGAATCCTCCGGCTTCACATATTGTCTTCTTCTGGGCTCTCTGCCTACCTAATTTGCAACAGGCAAGCGGCATCCCTGCCTCATTTGTTTCATCTTTCACAATCTGTGTGTTGTCAAGGCAAAGCCCTCCTTCAACTGGTTTCATTGCTGGCTTCCTCCTGGTTACTGGACAAGTCCTCATGGCTCGGGCTGCCACCTCCAGAAGGAAGGTCAGCTGGCTCAGAGCCGAGCCCGGTTTTCTTGGCTGAGGCCGGGACGCCTCCCTTCTGCTGCAAGATCTCAGTGGCCTCGTGCTCCAGCACCTCGGAGGGCGTCAGTGGCTCCAAATGAATGCTGCCTTGCTCGCTTGCATCGGAATGGGCAGAGTCAGGCTCTCCTCTTCTTCGCAAAAACTGTTCAAAGCTGACCTCTTCATCATTGGATGCCAAAGGAGTACAATCCATGTTCACATCTGCCAGCTGAGCTTCCTCTAAACTGGCCACCTTTGTCTGGACATCAGAGCCAGTCCACTCTGAACAAGCACTGCTTTTATTGCTTCCAAGCTCGGTTGGTTCTGCTTCTCCTTGCTTGTCAAAAACTGTCTTTTCACAAGAGCTCTCCAACACATTTCCTTGCAATCCTGGAGTAGTACCATTTTTCACAGCTGAGGAAGAGGGACTTCCTTCGTGCTCATCTGCAGCTGGATTTTGAAGAGGAACCCTCATCATTCCGGTCAGAGAGCCTTTTGAAAAGGTGCAAAGTTCAGCAATGCAGGATTGGTTTCCAACCAATTCAGAAATAGTTCCTTCACACTGTGCAGTTAAAGACACGGTCTTGTCCCCATCTTCAATTCTGTCCTCATCTCCTTCGCCTGTAAGATCTGCAGAGCTATCTGAATGAGCTGACTCGCCTAAAGCAAAGGCGTCTTCTGTCCTTTCATGCCTGCAAACTAAAAGTCCAACATTACTTTTGTTTCTCAGAATGTCTGCATCCCTTGCTGCGTCTGGTACTGTGGAATCGCTTGAATTGGCTGTGAGTTCCAACCCAGAGGAGCTTTCTGGAGCAGTGGTGCTCCCTTCATGCTCAGCAGCTAGAGGGCCAAGGTCACTCTGACTGGGGCAGCAGTCTTCCCCAAGACCCACCCTACTTGGACTGCCTATCAATTCAGAACTACAAGCACCTTCTGGAACTGGCAAACTGGCTTTGCTTTCAGCAGCTATGAGACTGGGGCTTTCTGGATGTGCGGAACCCTTTATGCTGCTATCTGTGGAACAGCTATGGAGTTCTGAAGTGGCTGCAGCTGACAACACAGGGCCTTCCTTTTGTGCATCGGAAAGGTCTTCATCCATCTGCTTCTCAGGGCTGGTGGCCTTGCTTTTTCCTGGGCAGGCTTCAGGTTCTGGGGCAGAAACTGGATTGTCTTCTTCAAGAGGAGATGGTTTTCCTTCACATCCACTCATTGGCACACTTTCCTCCTGCTGGTTTCCAAGGCCCCCCAGTGCCCTTCTTCTTGCAGGACTCCGAGAGCAGGCTTCAGATGTTGAACTAAATCCATTTTCTGGAACTGGGCTTTTAGTTCCTTCACTGTCAGCAGCTAAAACAATGTCAGTATTCTGCTTTCCAGGAAGATCTGCATTTGTTTCTCTCACAGACTCTTTCATCTGTGGGCTGAAAAAGCAATATAAGCACTTTAATTACCTGACTGTAATAAAACATGCTAATTGTTTCAGCCTATGGGGTGGTGTGGGGAGGGGTACTACACCCCCATGCCTGCATGTCAGGGCGTTTGTCCTCTTTGACATTCTCCCCCTGGCCAAGTAGGTGATGCTCCTGCCATGCTGATTCAGTGATTGGAGGCTGGGAGATGTAGGTGGTGACCAGGCTGAGCCTGAGGGAAGAAGGGGTCAAACAAGGGTCATTAGCGGGTTAGTCCCTTTGCACCCACAAGAGATCTAAGTCCAGCCGCCTTGAATTCCATTGGCTCTTATTTGCCACCAATTTGCTTTGACCATTAGTGGTTGTTCAAATTCTTGAACTGCCTGGACTTCTGATTTCCTGCGCTTAATAGAAGGATCTACATGGGGAGGAACAGTTCTGACTCAACCTCCTGGGCCTGCAGTTCCTGCTCAAGGAGCAGGTGACAACTCTTCTGAGGAAGGGGACCTTTGCACATGTACTGAGCATGTGGGACCAAGAGCAGAATATTGCTTGCAACCCTTTAAAGCAACTGCCTGTTTCCCTGGAATTGCCGCCACCTGATGCATGATCCAGAGAAGAGAGGCACTTTGCTGCCTCCCAATCTAAAGAACCAATGGCCCTACTCTACACATATCCCAGTTCAAGACTTGCAAAAATCCAGAGGTTAACTTGCACTCACTACCTATTATTTAAAGAGGCACAAATTTATTCACACTTCAGTTTGTGGAAGATCTAACTTTATTTTTACCTTTCTGAAATAAATGCTTTTCCTTGCTCGTCACATATAGGGGGCACCAAATGCTTCTAAAAGAAAAGAGCACAATATCACATAGTACAGTGATATTTTCCCTCAAGGTTCACATTGAACAAATGAATGCAACCCACAAAAGCTGGGTCCCCGACAGAGGGACCAATGACTCAGCATTGGCACAGAAACCCAAGAAGGCCAGACATAGAGGCAACTACGATCTAGATCAGCCACATGATCAAAATAAGCCAGCTGGAGGAAACCACTCCAGTGTGGAGGCTGACTTCTCGAAACTGCTGAAAAGCAAGCGGACCAGACGGGAGGGAGGGAAAAGAGTGAGCGTGCACTGGAAAAGACAGAAAAGGTGGGCAACAGCTGTCTCAAAAGCCCAGGGGGGGGGGAAGCGCACTCCCAAACAGGTTAGGCAACAGGTGGTACCAAATTCTGCTCCTGGCCAGATTTTTATATTCAGCACCGTTATTTTCTATCTGCTTCCTTCTGAGGTGGAATGTCCCCCTCCCTCCTGTACCTTCTTCACAAGACACAAATGGGTTTCAGCAACCTTCAAAGGCCGGGCCAATTTGCAGCCAGATCTGAAGAGAAATTTCTTCCTCCAAGTTAAAAGATATAATTGGAACATTGTGCTACTTGCACAGAGAAGAACAAGGCTGCTTTTTAAAAATTTGTTCATTCCTTATTAAGAATACGATTACCATTTTAAAGCCTCTCATCTGAAAATTTGAAAAAAAAAACATCTGAAAGCTATTATCTAATAGTTATCATTATGGCTGAAATTACACATCTGCTGAAAACTTTCAATAGATATGGCTATACAAAAGTTTTAAGACAAAAAAAGGGGACTACCTCTGACTTTTCTTCAATTTCATTTTTCAATAATGCATCCTTTGCTAGGCTAAAAGAGAAAACACTGGTTAGCTTAATGTTGATAATACACTGTCTAAAACTAAAGTGAAAACACTACTTTTGAAAATCTTCATTAGGAGTTAATTGATTATTTCACTTCCCACCAAACACCTCCATGGAACCCTATCTGTTATCTGACTCTTACCAGTGTTTGGTCAAGGTGACCAGAACTGGTATAGTGCTCCCTACTCTTTGTGGCTGCCCTCTACTCTGAGGAAGGGAGGAGGAGGATGTGAATATCTGGGATATTTGTCTCAGTGTATTTAAGTAGATGGAGTGCACAAAACCTGCTGCTTTGGGAATGAATCAAAACTGTTTTTAACCTTTAGTACAATGTCTCTGTATTCTCTTGCGATGGAAGGGAAGAATGCAAGCTGCACTTTGCTGGTAACCCCACCTAAGAAGTGTCCCACTCCACTGCAAGCTCAAGCCAGAAGAGAGGTCTAGCCACACCTCCTCCCCTGTGCATCCTTTCCCCAAGAAGCAGGAGGGGGGCCCGGTTGCACCTTCAAGGCAAGGGGCCTCACCACCTCCGCCTTGTCTCTCTGGGACAGATCCTCCTGCAGTAGAGCAGAGTTGCAAGGCACAGAAGCAAAGAAAGACCAGGAAAGGGACAGCCTAGAGCGCCTCAGTTGGGCCCCTGGGTGGCTGCTTTTGCCAATCTCAGGTTCTTTGCTACATCAGGCAAAAAGGCTGCTCCTATGTTCATCTGCTTAGCCCATAGCTCCTGCGAAGAAACAAGAGAAGTTGAGGGTGATGTGGAAAGCAAATGGCTGCCTCCTCCTCGCCACACCTCTGTGGTTGTAACAGATCAGCCAAAATTACGGGGGAGCCTTCAGCTTCATCATTGTATCTGGTGGAGGCTATTCTGGAACGCCCAAAAGGAAAGACCCCTATCTGTCACTCACAGCATAGATTTTTCTGTAGTAATTTTCAAGCCTGGCCTGTACCCAAGATTAGTTATATATTATTCAGGTGTATTGACTTCTAAACAGCTTATCACATCACCAAAATTATTTTTTACTGTTTAAGAAATTTCTCTGCATGGATAGTGAGAAAGGTGCGTCTCATATAAAACCACGTACATTCATTAGCTTTTGTAACCCAGTTTAACTTTTCAAAGACGTTTTGCTCAAAAAAATTGCTGCTGCCAAGTATCTTCTTTGCTGATGCAGTGAAAAGTTAAATCTAATTCACTGAAGCCTGGCATGGCACCAGCCGCATCATTAATCATGAATGCAACTTTGGGCCAGGAAAGGCTTCGCTAGTGAGCCCTCGAGATGCAAAGCGTCTGCCAGCACTGAAGTCACTCACTACTTGTGCCATCTCTACCACTTTCAGAGGGCAAATATCTTTGGCCCCGTTCAGCCATTTTCAAAACGTCCAGATTAGAGAGAGGGATCCTAAGCACCATTACAGAGGGGAGGTTCCACACTTGTTAACAGAACATGAAAAAAGAGATGTGCCTATCTAATCAACTAGAGTACAGGCAAACTTGCTTTTCCACAGCCTTCCTCTATATAAGGAAGAGGTGGAAAACCTCCACATCCATCCACTTGACCAAACAATTACATTTGAAAAACTCACCCAGAAATATCAGCAGGAGTGAAGCAATCCAAGGGAACTAGAAGTGAAAAAAAGAGAATTCGATATTCAAGGTAACACCAGTGTTTTATTGCAACATCTGAAGCCAATGCCCCAAACACCTACCACGTTCTACAATCACTTGACAAGTATGAGTCAGGCTTTCATTAAGGTGGGTGGCCATCTTGTCCAAGCCAGAAACATCTGTCAGGAAATCGCAGTTAAGACAAACCACAGTGGTGCCCCTGGGGAGAAAGCCATTGGAAGGAGTTGAGCTCTCCAAATACCTAGACAGCTGTTGGCCCCTACTTGCCCCACAACCCCATAGTCCTACAAGGGCCCCAGGGCCAACAGTCTTGCACTACTTAGACAGTGTCAGCGAACACAGGATGCTGCACATCCAGGGAAGCAGCTAGAATGGCACTGCACACTATTAAAAATGCAGAGCTGAAATTAAAAAATAGTAGAAGATGGTTACCTCAGTTCATCTGAATGCGTTTTATAAATCCAAAATCTTTTAGTTTGACGAGCACTATGAAAGCTACAAAAAAACAGAGTACCTTAAGTTGAATTCCTGAAAAAAATGACTTATTTCTACCATAAAATATACATTAAAAAAGCTACGGTCATGTGGTTTGTAATGCATCTTATATAAAGGAGCACATTCTGTGCCAACACAATTAACAAGAAATGAAGAAAAGCCCCAGGTTCACCTGAGAAGAGTTTCTAGCAGCCCCTCCTCTGGTATTCTAATACCAGAGAAGTTGTGTTTTTTCCCACCAGCTTTCAGGGCAAATGGTGCAATTCAGCCAGAAGCAGCCAAACAGAGAATTGGGTCAGGGAGACAAGGGGTTTTATTTTGTCAGTTTGTACTTAGGGATTAAGGTACCTTATTTTACTGTGAGCATCAGCTGATTGTTTCTAAACAATGCAACTTGATCCAGGCAGAAGCTGCTACCTGGAAGGCTAAGTGATGGAGTCAGGTAGCATGGAGCCTTGCCTTTCTGTCTCAAACCTTTCTGTCTCTCTTAACCAGACTGAAGCTCAAGGTCTCTTACCCCATCATGTGGTTCACATAAGCTTTGCTGCAACTGGTGCCGTATCTGCACAAACTGCAGCGCACATACGCCGGGAAGTGACTTGCAAAAGTCCGGATGTCTGAGTAACACTCAATGCATTTTTGAATATCAGGACACCTAAGATTAACCAATGTCATAATTAATTATCAAAGAGTAAGTTAATTCACAGGTCAAGCCGTTGTTGGGTAAGATTTGCTTAGCTTAAACTGGGGGTGCCAGATGCAGAGGTTGTTTGGACCTGCAGAAGCCCCAGGTGCTTGTAAGGTTTCTAAATAACTTCTATTGATCCCTGAGAATTACCTGAGGTTATTTAGTGCTGTATTTGCAACCTTTGTTTTCTTGCTGCTGCTGCCGCCGCCGCCGCCGCCGCCACCACCACCACCACCACTGCTGCCGCTGCTGCTGCCACCGCTGCTGTTCTTGCTTCCCTCACAGCTGCTCGTCCCCAGGACCTGCTTCTTCTGCACGCTCAGCGGCTTCAGCTTGGACTTTCCCTTGCAACTAGCAGTCAGCTTGTTCTGAGCTTTGCTGTTTGCTGTTTTGGTTCCAGGAGACAACAGCAAGGTGGACGTGTTTGTGCTTGCAGGGGACGCTGTCACAGAGGCAGGTTGAAGAGATCCAGCAGAAGCTCTAATTGTAACCTAGAATGTGAGACTCTTTCAGTTTTCTCTGCCTCACAAAAGCCAGCGCTGATCTGCTTGCTTGGATTTCAAAAGGAATTTGGGCAATCCTTGTTTTTTTAATATGCAAAGTAAAAAGTAGCCACAGCACAAGACTGCAATGTCCTCTGAACGCTGCAGGGGAGCTGGGTGGCTGAAGGTTCTCCATCCAACCAGCCATCCAATTTCAGCAGAGCAAGAATAAAAGCAAACTGTTTCTTTCTCTCTCTTCCATTCATGCTTTTTTCTAAGGCCTCAGCTTCCACACGTATCACCCACAGAACAGCCACATTCCGAGACAAGATCAGGACTAGCTGGATCTCATTGTCAAACCAAAAAAGAGCTAGAATCCAATCATCAGTCTGCTACGTAACAAGCAACAACTCCCTTATCTACTCAGAGCAAGACTCCAGAAAGAAGGGAATGGATATGATCAAAAGAATCCAGAGATTTTTGATATCAGATTGACAAGTGAAAAGCAAATTAAAGAAACTATTTCTTCCATGAGACACCACCATCGTCATCCTGAAGAAAAGCACCAGGCATTTCCTAGAGCACAGGCTCCCAAAGAGGCCGCTCAGGCCACAGCCCATGTCCTGTTCCCCGAAGGGAGTGGCCAGACGAGCCCCTGGCTTCAGCCTCTGGCTGAAGAGGGCACCTCTTGGACAGGCCGAGGGAAAACCTTCCTGGGCTATTCACACAACGCACCGGCCACCCACTTACTTTGGTTCCTGGAGGCAAGCCCTCCAACTGTGCAGGTTTTTTGAATGTCCGATGATGCTGAGATTTGTGGTCCAGTTTTTCTTTGCAGGTCAAGAACTGGAGTCTACATTTGGTACAGCGATGTATTCCTTTTTTCTTTAGGAAAAGAAAAAAAGGCGGAGGTATAAGTATGTGGATGTTCATCCCAGAATAATAAGACAGATCACTGAGCTACGTTTTAATAATGCTGAATTCACAAATGGTCTAATGCCACATTGCAAGAGGATCTGAAAGTGTAAAAATTGTGGCCACTTGCAACAACACCTACAGAGTAACAAGTAAGGACATTCAACATTCAACTAAGCTGGAAAGCACGACAGCCTCTCATCCCCCGTTCTTTGCTAGAAAAGGAGGAGTCCTGTTGTCTTCCCAGAAACGCCTCTTAGCCATATTCCCTGAAGCCTCCTGCACTTCAGCCATAGTCAGTGCCTTGCCCAGCATTAGCCATGCCCAAAGGTTTCCTGGGCAGGCCGCTAGGCAAGATGGGCAGCAGCCCCAGGCGCTGCACAGGACAGGCAGCTGGGGGAGCAGCATGACAGCCATGTTCCGTGGGGGGGGGGGAGGAAGTACTATGGGGTGGGTGTCCACTACTCTTTGCTCCCCACTTACCTTCCTTAAAGGTTACAAATGTTACCTGATGCCTCATAAAATGGTGCATATAAGGTGCCCCAATTTTAATAACTTTAAGGCAAAATGGGCAAAGCAGGTTCTTTGTGTTTTCATGAATGGATCTGAAGTGTTTTTCCACATCCGAAAATGCTGACGATCTGTAATTGCAAACCTAAATATCAATATAAAGAGGAAGAGGGGAATATTTACTTCTAGCATCTCTTCTTAGGAACAAGAAGACATAGACAAACATGTGCACATAAAAAGGGGGGGGGGAGTACCTGGCAGACATAAGGCATTTCCCCAGGCTTGTGATTGTCTTTCATATGCTGCAACAGAACTTGCTCAGTTTCAAAAGAGAGTTCACAGATTTTGCAAATAGCTAAAAAAGAAAATAAGCAGCAGCTGAACGTTTTAAAAAAATCAGAATGCTGGAGTGACACCAAACTGGCACCTGTGACTCAGCTAGGACTCTCAAAGGGCACTTTATAACCCAGATGGTCATTACCTTCTGGCCACATTTCGGCAGTTTGTGGGCTTCGCATTTACATCCCTGCATCCCACTGAAGGAGCCCAGTCCAGGTATGGAAAGGAGCTGAATTCCTTCAGCTGGTCCCCAGAGATGAGAGGCTGTGGAGAAGTTGCTGTGAGGTGGGATGCCTCAGATAGGTGGGAGGCTCTGGGAAGGCCAGTGCAAACTGCCCACAAGTGTAGGGGGCTGAAAATCCTCCAGGATGGCGGTTGCTGAATGAATCAGTCACATGACCTCTTGGTTAATGACTGAGATTCGGTCCTAACTGTGGTCATAAGTCAAATTACTATCTGTAATTTGACTTCTAAGTGAAAGTAGACTCCTGAATATTATTCACACATAGATAGGATAGGTTAATTGTTTTAATTAGTTGAACTATCATATCTACGTCAGAAGCTGTATTTACTTTAAAAGTTCAGGCTGCGTTTGATATTATTGCTTTCTCCACCAATGTGCAGACGCTGAGAACTTCTGAATTTGGTTTAGCCACAAGTCTACCAAGATCCTTGTCTATGGACTATCTCGTATCCCCCTACCCACTCCCCATCTTTCCCATCCAGAAGAACTCACTGGAGGACTCGTGAGGCGTGTGGGTGCTTTCAATGTGGCACTGCAGCTGAAAGGGGGTAGGAAACTGACGGTAGCAGTGCTGGCAGGTGGTGTGGCTTTCCCAGCTCTCACTGTTCTGCTTCTCAAGCTCCAAATGATGCTTCATGTGATTCATAAATCTAAGAAGAACAGTACACAAGTCAAGCAGCTGCTTTTAAAGGGAAACCTTTAATTCCACGCACCAAGGAAGGGATAGAAGGTGCCTGCTGTTTGGCACATGGTGTCAACAGATACCCCTCTGGCTGCTGGCTCTAGGGAAAACATTTGCATAAATAAATGGTTAAATTCCTCTGTCAAAAGTGAGTGGAACCCAAAGGACCAGAAAAACGTAGATTAAAGCATGTTGGCACAATCACTCATCCATTTGAAGCAGATGAAAACTTGCAGATGAAAACTAGAGAGACTTAAAAGATTCCAGGTATGAACCAAAAAGGTCAGGAGGCCCCAAGGTTGGACAGCCAAAGGGGTTCTGGCACTCCAATTATGGAGGATTCAACTTCCATTCTCTTTGAGACCTGGCAATTGGCAGAACCTTTTGATTCTCCAAACATATCCACCTTAATTGTTAATATTTAGATCTGTTCAATTCTCGGCTATGATTCGTTTGGATTTATTTAGCAGAACTCTTTGAAGGAATGCAAAATCAGCTCTGCTAAAATTAAAAATAAACAAGAACGACACATGAAGCAAGGTAATGCTTAGGCCTCCACTCTGGCTGCCCCTAAGCTCCCATGTCAGAGCTGTGCCTCTTCCACACTATAAATACCTGATGTTGCTTTTGAGGACTTTCATGCAGCTGGCACACTTGAAAGTCGTGTGGGTCTTCTGCTCCTGGCGCACCTGCTGGAGGTTCCCCTCGTGCTTGCCGTAATAGAAGTCGTTAACCAACATGATCAATTTTCCTTTTTCTGCTTCAGCAATTTTAGGTGATATACCTGAGCAATCCATTTTGGTTATTCCCGGAAAGGCATGCACCATTTCAGGACAGCAATACTGAAAAGGCCAACAACTAGCATGAATTTTGAACAAAGGCATTTGCTGAATTGTCAAGAACAGCAAAGAAGTTAATCAAGATGTCTTCAAATCAAAATATCTAGCAAAATCAGATATCTTGAGTTCAGAAGACTATTAAAAAAATATCATCAGTATTTATCATAAATACTGATAACCCCAAATTCACAGTTAACAAATTAATATACCACCATGAAAGGAAATTATTCCTGATTGAGGAAAAACAGGCTGAAAATTAAGACCAGTAAGGGTGCAAACAGAACACAATGTCACAAAGAAATCTCTACAATCAAGACAGAAAAATCACAAAGAAGAAATAGGTTTCAAAGAATTTTCCACTCTTGAATTTCATCTGAGACTTATTTCAGCTAGGGAAGTTCAGGAGTGAATTTAGTGTGCATTATCTCTGGAGTGGGAACACATACTCATCTCAGACAAAAATGTGGCAGCTAAACAAGTTATTTTAAATGGTATATGTGAAAGGCAAATGGGAGAAACCTTTAAAAACCACAAGAAAATGCAGTCATCTTTACTTATATACAATTTAAATACTGAAATAAAACTGAATAAAACAGCCCTAGATTTTATCATGTCTAGAAATACCAAGTGATTCAAGGTTACATTTATAACCATGTCTTACTTCCATCCCAAATATATTTACCTTTATATGATTTTTCAAAGGCTCCAAAAGGTTAAAATGAATATTACATTTTGGGCATGCCTGTGGAAAAGGGGCTCCATTCTTAATATTACTTGAAGCAGCGTCTGTGGAAAAAGAGAATGGGATATATTATTATTTAATGTGTGTTTGAATATGTGAGGCAGATACATTAAATTCATTATCCAAAGGCATCCTTTAATCCATCTGACCATTGCTGGAAATGAATGTAGCCTTCCATGGATTCCCTCAGATCACAAGGTTTGATGCCCTTCCCCTGCTTGTATTTCACAGCAGTCTTTAAAACACCTTCAGACAAGATTCCTCCCAAACAGGACATCCAGCATGTTCTTACCTTTTTCATGGAGGACCAGGTCATCTGGAGGTTTAACGGAGGAGAGGAGAGGTGACTCACTCTCAGAGCCTGTTTCATTAGCCTTGGCCTTTTTGGGAATGATACTACTGGCTTCAGAAGCGGAGGGACGCTTGGACAAGCCTAGAAATGTTTTAAAATTTAAATGTAAGTAGCCTTTTATAGCCATTACTTCTCAGTCTCTCAAACCCCACATCATGCATAAATGCATAAAATCAATCCACAGACACAGCTCATGCTGCAATCCAAGTCATCTTTTCTCAGAAGCCACACCTACCTTGTTCAGCAGGGCTCCCATGCTAGGAAGCCCCTCCATGCCTTATTTCAAAGCTATTGCTATCAAGAAGAGCATTACTCTGAGATATGCACTCAGCTTTCCTTAGATGTTCACACAATATTTGATGGTCCCTAAGAGCAAACCCCACTCCTTACCAGTACCAATCAAGTTACCTAGCTGGCTAATGAAACTTCTCCAAGAAAACCCCCAGGCTCAGAGGGCACCAAGGACCCTTCAGTCCCCGACTAAACATTATGAGCCTGGCCACCCATTTTTTAAATCCCTTTTTTGCCTCAAACCACAAGCAAAATAAAAAACCTGACTTGGACACACCTGCCATGTTCATGGGTGATCCACTCTGGTATTGTGACCCTCCTGAATTCTGCCTTACGCCAAAGGTCAGGCCCGAAGTTCTATCTGGGGTCACCTGTGGAGGATGCGTTCAATAACTCAGCAACAGGACTCTTTGATTCTACAGCAATTTTCTGTTGCTGTAGAACAAGGGTGTCAAACTCGCAACATCACGTGTCGCGGCTTTTTTGCCATTGCCAGCAATGGGGTGGCCGTGGTTTCTTTGTGATGCATGCGGCCCTTGGGCTGGCAGTTTGATACCTCTGCTGTAGAAACACTTCAAAAGATTCACACACGGAGCACCCACGTTTACTCTTTTAAGTGCTCCATTCAGACAAGATGCACTTTCTGCCAGGTCCTTCTCCTTTCCAAAGCCCCAGAGGGACTCCGACTGGCCCAGAGTCCTCGGGGCTCAGAACACAATTATCTCCAGGACACGGCAAGCAGCAGCAACAGCAGTACTCACAGGCTGGGGGACTGTGGCTGCTGGTACATGGGGCAGCTCCAAACCTACCCGGTTCAGTGCAATAGGCTGTGCTGTTACGGTGGCCACCGGCCTGGACGTAGATGGCGCTGACGTAGGAATATGGAGATTCCGTGACAAGGACTGGGTAGGGGCAGATATATTGACAGGCTGGGAGATCCCAGCATTGGGTTTAGCTTCCTGCGGTGACGAACATTCTGAAAGTGGCTTCTGCAAGACCTGAGACGATCCTGAGATGCTGCTGATGCGTGGCTGTGGCTGAACAGCTAGGGTACTAGTTGCAGGTCTGCCTGAAGAGTGAAACCCTGGAGAAACAGCCACAGCACCTGCCACAAGAAGCAGGAAACAAAAAATTACAGTTAGACTCAGAAGCTTTCAGAGACGTCAACGTTTGGCATCACTGGAGAACATCATACCTCTTTTGGGGGCACCATTCTGCACTCCAACTCGTGATGAATTCGTGTTAACTCTGTTCAATATATCTGTTAAAAAATGATCATTGCTGCTTTCAGAAAACAAAGGAGGAGGAAAATATGCTCAAGGGAATTTATCAATACAACCCTAGAGAAGGAAAATAACATCTCACTGTGAAGTTGCACTAATTCTTAAAAGGTTTGCAGTCTTCTCATTCCTGAAAGAAGCTGCAGAATTCCAGCAATTGTTCCAAGAAGGGATCCAACAGCACCGTAACCAATTATCTCAGTTTAACTACAATACATTTATGCTGATTCCTGCCAGTCAACAGGATTTTTGAGTCAACCTGTTTAGGACAGACATGCAAGTTAAGCTTGACTGGCCTATTAGCAACTCCAAGGCAGCCTGCGGTGACTAACCTTGAAGCTTGCTCTTCTTCCCCTTGTGTGCCCCCCCAGTTCAAAACAGCCCCTTACAGGTATTGGTTGGTTTGGAGCTCAAGAACTCCCCAACAAAGATAGGCTCGTCATCATCGTCGTCGTCATCAACAACAATGGGGTTTGCTTTCTGTTGCCAGGGTTCAAGCTCTTCCTCTTCGCATTCCATGAAAAGCTCTGCCATTGTGGAACTAGAGAGGGAAAATAGTAGCAGGTGGAACAGACCACTGTCATGAGTGCCCACCAGCTGTTCTGTTCCGGAAAGATGCCCTGGTTCTGGCATGGTTGCACTCCTTGCTTAAAGCTTTGGTTTGCCCAACTACAGGCAGGCCAAGAAAGGGCACAGATGGCCCGCAGCAGATGCCAATGGCTGCATCTTCACAAAAAGAAACCCAAAGGCTATTTTCTCTGCTTCAATCCAGCAGACCATGCTTTAACCTAGAGTGTAAAAAAGTTTTGGGGGTTCGGAATCATGAAAGCCAGTGACTTTAACAGATAACACAACTGTTACCAATAAGAAAGTTCGACATTATAAGAGGCAGCGCCAATCATCCTAAGAGCAAAAGGATTTTCCAGGAAAGCCCTTCGGGCAGAGGGGAGCAGTGGGGGGGGCGGCAGGGAGCCACTCGGCCTTCCCTGCTCCCTTCCCCCATCATCTCGGGGGAAGAGCGGTGCGCGGAGGGGCCTCCGCGGGCGGTTCCCTTCCCTTCCGGGGTCACTCGGAGGGAAGCCCGCTGCCTGCAAGCACCGTTCAGCCCCCTCCCTTTCCCGGGGAGTTCCCGGGCCTTCCCATCCAGGCTCTGGCTTGGACGAAACCGTGCCCCCGATCCTCCCGCCAACACATGCGCCCTCGCCCGCCTCGCTTTCCCCGCCGATTCACCCGGGAGACCCAAGGGGCCGCCGCTCCCGTCCCGGCAGGGCTACGGCGGCCGCGGCCCTGCTGGGGAAACGGGAGCACCCTCTCCGTTACTCCCCGAGCCTCCCGGGCGACGACGGCCCCGTCGACCGGGCTCACTGCGGCGGGAGGAGGCCGCGCTCCATCCAAGATGGCGGGGCCGCCCGGGCGCCCTCCCCCGGCCGGACCGCGCGGGGCGGCGGCGGAGCGCTTACCGGGGGCAGCAGCAGGGCGGAGGGCGGGACGCGCGGAGGCCCTCCCCCTCAGGCGCCCCACGTGGCCGATCTGCCCGGACCGCGTCCCTCCCGGACCGCTCGGGGAACCCGGCGGAGGCGCTGGCCGGTCCGGCAGGCGGCTAGTAGGAGCGACGCAGCCGGCAACTTCCCGCGCGCCCAACCTGCGAGGCCCCAGCACGTTGGCATGCGAACCGCCGCGCCTGCTCTTTGTTTCCCGCGCGCGGTCGAAGGGCGTCCGTAGAAACAGGGACCCCTCCCCCACCCTCAGCTGGCCGGGCCTGCGAGGAGGCTCCCGAAGAGCGCGGGGGCGGGGCAGGCGACGCAGGCGCGGCAGGGCGGGGGCTCTCTGGGGCGCCCAAGAGGTCCAGCCTGAGGGCCGCCGCCGCCCCTCGCCGCGATCGCTCCGGGCAGAGATCAGCGCGCAATGCGGTCGGGGGGGGGGCGAGGGGAGCACGGCAGCTCCTGAAGAGGTCGGGACCCTCGATGCGGCTGCACCACGGAAGGCCCCCGAGTCTGGCAAGGCGCCCGGCAGCCTCCGCGGGGCGCAGACCTGGCCTCGGCTGCATGCGGGAGAACGGCGCCTCCCCTACCCTTGCCCGCCGCAGGCCCGGTCTCGGTGGCGTCGCCTCTTTGCCGCGGCTTCTTCGCCGCCGCCCTGGACAGCGGCCCCGCCAGCCCTTCTCCTGCACTGCTGGCGCCGCGGCGGGCCGGCGGTGGGCGGGGCCGTGGGCGGGGCAAGGCCAAGCCCCGCCCCGCGCGGATGGATCCCGGGCGGTCGGCGCGACGTGGCGGTTCTTCGGCATCTCGACAGCTCGCCTGGGGAGGCTGCGCTTTCCGCCAGGGCCGCGGGCGGGCTGCAAGAGGAAGGTGGCCCCGGCTGGGGCGGAGCGGAGCGGCCGCCTTGCCCGCTTCTCGCGGCCCAGCCGCCGCGGGGGCCCTCGGAACGGGCGGCGGGGCGAGGGCGGCCTCTCTGCTGACGGTCGGCGCCCGTCCCGCAGGCGGCGGAGGAGGAGGCCAAGATGAACTCGCAGCAGCAGCAGCAGCAGCGCCTGGCCGCCATCGGTACCGACAAGGAGCTGAGCGACCTGCTGGACTTCAGCGCGGTAGGCCCTTTGCGGGAGGCGGGGGCGGCTCCCCACCCCGGGCCCGCCGCGCAATCCCGCTGAGGAGCCGCGTCTCTCTCTCTCTCTCTCTCTCTCTCTCCCTGCTGCAGATGTTCTCGCCGCCCGTGAACCGCGGGAAGGCCCGGCCCACCACGCTGGGGAGCAGCCAGTTCGGCGGGGCAGGTGAGGAGGCCCTGCGGGAAGGAGCCCCGCGTGGCTGCAGCCGGTCGGGCGCGACGGGCCTCGCCGCGGCTCGCTTAGCGGGCTGTGGGTGCTGCATTGGCGGAGGCCGTTCTGCCCCGAGTACCCGTCGGGGGGCTTCGGCTTTGGCCGGCGTTGGATGTTCAGACCGCCGCGGCCCTTCCGCAACCGGGGTGCCAGATTTCAATGGCTCCTGAGGTAACGCGGGGAGAAAGCGAGCGGGGCCGCGGGCAGCAGCTGGAGGGTTGCGTGGGCGGGACGAGAAGCGCCTCCTCGGGCTGCTTTGGCCGGCCGAAGAGAGGCTTCTCCCGTTGCTCCGCTCGGGCTTCCCTCCGGGCCTTTCCTTTGGGATGAGGTGGTTTTCAGGGGTTTTGGGTGGCCCCATAAACGGATCCAAAGAATAAACGCTCTCAGATGATGAAAACCGTTCATTGTGGTTGCCCCGTGACCTTGCCCCCTTGGATCTGGGCCTGTTGGGGTACTAGTCCTTAATGAGGCTTAATCTCGCTTGTTGGTTTTGCTTTTTGGCGCTACAAAAAGCATGGCTTAGTCTGGTATTCTTCAACGGTGCAGCAGCAGCACCCCAAAAGTCAGGGGAGGACGTCTGGATCTTTCCAAGGAACAAAAGCCATGAATGCTTGGTGTGAGGGCTAGGCAAGAAGACATATGCCAGCCCTATAGGCAGCATGAGAAGCCAGAGACTGAGGGCCGAGCCAAGGGAGGACTAGGGGTGCTGTCAGCACTTGTTCCCTCTGCTCATGGACCAAATGGGGGAGCCAAGGCCAGAGCTAGTTTGGATTGAGACCTTCCTTTGCTTTGGCAAGCCTGGTAGTTTTCTTCCAAAAGTGGTGACCCCCCCCTCTTGCTTATGACCCACCACCGGGTCCCAACCTAGTTTTACAACCCATGACAAATGAAGCAGAAATACTTGATCTTGTGGTCCAAATACTGTTACTAAAGGTAACCATCTTATCCCAAGTGATTGGTTGATAAACATGCTTCCGTACTATACTACTTGGTATACTAGTATGTTGAGGTAGATTTAATCATTAGTGTAAGAAGCAGAAGTAATTAATGGTAATTAGGTTTTCTCTTTTTCTTGATGCTTGAGAATTTCTTGTACTATTATCTGTCTAGAAATTGCAGTGAAAATTAGCAAAGCTAGCAACCTGCATGTGTTGGTATCCTTAGTTTTCTTTTTCCATCACTTCAATTTCTATAAAAGAACAAATGCTTCTGTTACATCAATATGTGCATAAATTTTTAACATCTTAAACGTTTTCTATAGATAATCATAAATGTAGAAGGATGGACTATTATACTTCTGATCTAATTGTAAACACAGCTTACCTTTTTGGAGGAGTTGATTTAGTAGTGATTTCCTTGCTAAATCTTGATGTTTCATATTGGTAAACTTTGTACATATGTTCTGTATGCTGAGTATTAACTAAAAATGTTGCATATTGTTCCTACTACATACAGGTTCTTTTTCACATTTTGCATAATTGATGGATTTTGTGGCTTTGAATCTGAAAATTGGATTTGACAAAAATAAGTATTCAGTTTTAGGAACATGTGATAAATATTAATACAAAGCTTACATGGAGTCAAAAACACTTTCTATTTTAAACATGGAAAAAATGCCTTTCAGCACTAACTTCCTATTCTAAATCATATCTATACAGTGTAATTTGCCTCATAAAGCTTTTCATTGTATTTTTGTATTTTTAAAACTGTAGCACAACTTTTTTTTGTATCCTTATCTTTATTTTTTCAGGTCATTGTCTCCAGTGTAGAAATGTCTTTCATATCACAACTGAATTATTCTAATTCCTGAAAATTAAATAATTTGATTTGCAGTTGGGCATATATTTATAGAACTTGATTAGTTTAGTTTGGGTCCTGAAATCGAGTTTGTTATGTCAGGTAGATTGCCAACTGATTTGTTGCATTCAAAGATTCTTTTCCTTTGAAAGGAGAAGTTGTATTTTTGCTCTGTCAAAATGTCTGTTTCTTATCCTTGTAATGCTAGGATGCTTTTGTTCTTTAGCAAAATTAGAAAACTGAGTTTTCTGCTCATTGAAGAGCATGCTTCGGTATTTTGTGGCAGGTGCTTCATGGCTAATATTTAAGAGAGTTATGTTGTCCTTTGTTTAAGTATTCCTCTTCCGTTGCAGCTCAGTTGTCTTATACAACAGATTTGCTGGTTACTCTTGTGTCTGATGTCATGAAAACTTGCATGACAACTGACAATTCTAGTATTAAATTCTTACAGAATTGTTCTCTAATACTCTAATGTTAAATAATGTTTCTTAAATACTATTTGCTTATTCTTCTGACAGTTTGACAAAATGAAATGAGCACAATATTGATTAAAATATTTCCAGTAATTCTTAGGGCGTTCCTCTAGTTCTTTATTAATAATTCTCTATTCTCTAGGGAATATTGCAAATTTGGTTGGCCAATAGGACTTAATAAAATTTACAGTTCTGCTTTTCATATTGTGCTTCAAAAGTTTAGAGCGCTAACTTTAGCACATGTGAAGAAGGTATGTGGGAATGACTTTAGGAAGCTGAGTAGCTTATTACAGACTTGAGCCATAAAATGCAGGTAATCCTTGACTTACGACCACAATTGAGCCCAAAGGTTCTGTTGCTAAGCAAGACAATTGTTAAATGAGTTTTGCTTCATTTTACAATCTTTCTTGCCACAGTTGTTAAATGAATCATTGCAGTTGTTAAGTGAATCTTGTTTCCCCATTGACTTTGTTGCAATGACCCCAGGATAGTGCACCATCATAAATACATTCATTCCAGTGGCAAAGTGTTGATCACATGACCATAGGAATCCTGCAATGGTCATAAGTGTGAAAAAGTCATGTTACTTTTTCAATGCCATGGTAACTTCAGATGGTCACTACTGTTGTAAGTGGAGAACTATCTATATTTCCTTTCAGAACTCTTTTTTTTCAACTAGTTAATTTGCACTAGAAAACAGATTAGCAAAGCAATTAAGTAGTCTTACACATAATTCTTATCAGTCTATAACAACCCAAAATTAAATTCTCAATTAGGGAATGTATAAACCTATTTCAATATCAGCAGCATTAGTTGCAGGAGTTCTGTGCCAGTGTAAACTTATAGATAATCAGGTCATAAATAACAATCCCTTGAGTTTGTTGGAATTCAGTGTCTAGATTGTGGAGTCTATGGGCCAACATAGTTGTCTGCCCAATGTAGAGTGCCTACATTCATTTCTCCTTGCTCTGTTCTAACCAATATTGTTGAACCAACCCATTTGTATGCGGCATTCTTGCTTCACTTACCCCCGTTGTTTAGAATAACTTGACTATTTATTAAAAGAATTGAAAGACTGGGTATGTGAGCAAATACAGTTATACCACACAACCAACCTTATCCTAACTCTTTAAAAATGTTTATGCACAAATAACCAAAAATAAATCACAATTGCAAATACATGAACAACCTTACGCAGATATTGAAGTCTGATTTCCATTTGTCAATTGCAGATAGGTGAAATTGTTAAGATTGCCAAAATTGTGGATTAGACAACATCACCACCAGATGGATTCATAACTGGCTGACTGGCCGTACTCAGCATCTGATCCTCAATGGAACTGCATCTACACGGAGGGAAGTGTGTGGTGGGGTGCCCCAGGGCTCTGTTCTGGGCCCAATGCTTTTCAACATCTTCATTAACGATTTGGACGAGGGGATAGATGCAGACGACGCCAAGCTGGCAGGAATACCCAGCACTCCAGAAGATAGGCTTAAGATACAGGAGGATCTAAACCAGTGGTTCTCCACCTTTTTAATGCCGCGACCCCCAACCGGTCGTAAGTCGAGGACTACCCAACTGGTCGTAAGTCAAGGACTTTCCCTGCCCGGGAGCGCCGCACATGCGTGGTCCTGCGCCGGCCGAGGCGTAACTGGCAAGGGGCAGCGATGGCGCAGGGCAACCACCGGCTGGGCCACCAGCTGGCCCAGCCCAAGGGAGGTAAGGCACCCGCCGGGCCCCACGCGGGCCAGCAACCCTCCCTGCACCCGCCGGCCTCCCACCTCCCACCCCTGGCCCTCTTTTACTTACATTTTTAGTAGTTGCTCAGCAGGGAGGAGTGGAAACTTCCAGACAGCTCGCCTTCGCTGCAGACAACTTGCAGCACCATTTGCAGAATGGGACTTTTGGCGGGCTCAGCAGGGCAGAGACAGCCTGGACAATTCCTATTGGCTTTTGAAAGCCAATAGAATTAGACTCTATTCAAGAGAGTCTATTCTATTGGCTTTCAAAAGCCAATAGAATAAAAGGGAGTAGCACAGCTAAGGAAAAGGGGAAAAAATGGCGGACTGCGTTTGGCGACCCCCGTGAAATGGTCGTTTGACCCCAAATGGGGTCCCGACCCACAGGTTGAGAACCGCTGATCTAAACAGATTTGAACACTGGGCGCTATCTAACAAAATGAAATTCAATGGTGAAAAAAGTAAGGTTCTACATTTAGGCAAGAAAAACCAAATGTATAGGTATAGTATAGGTGGTACCTTGCTCAATAGTCGTAACCGTGAGATGGATCTTGGAGTCCTAGTGGTAAATCACTTAAATATGAGCCAGTCGTGTGCTGCAGCTACCAAAAAAGCCAACTCAGTGCTGGGCTGCATTAACAGAAGGATAGAATCAAGATCACATAAAGTATTAAGACCACTTTACAATCCCTTGGTAAGGCCATACTTTCCCTTTTCACTTCTACTAGCTCATATCATCACCATCATGCCTCTTTATCCAGGTTCATCTCTTTTTTTCCCTCTCCTCCTCACAAAAACTCACTAGTTGCAACAGCTTCCATTTCTTGAAAGTGGCTGGTTTGTTTGCAAAAGAGGCTGACTGATACTTGCAGATGGGTTCAACTGATTTTGTAAACAGATAAGCTTTGAGAGGCAAATAATTTTGTTTAATTGATTATTAATTGA